GACAGGTGCAGTCCTGACTGAGGTTTCTAAAAACTGATGGGTTTTTTGGGGGGTGCATAAAATAGGGTAAAGTGTTGAGAGCTCTGTTTTGAATGTTCAGCTTTTTCAATTATTTGCTTCTCTTAATAGCAACGTAGGCAGCACAGGATAACACAGCAGAGAGCACATGCTGTTAACAATGGAGAGTTCCAGAGGTAAGAGAACAAACTTTATTCCTGATAACTCACAGTCCTCACTGTCTGTAGCCCTGTTCCTCATCTGGAAAGCTAGAGGGTATTTTGGGTTAATTCTGGTTGTTGCTGGAGTAATTAGACTGCTGCATACAGTGCTACTCCCAGCTGCTAACAGATATTTACACACAAAATCCATTTTGTGGTTTATTTTAGAAAGGTGTTTATATGTAAAATCAGCTAACATAAAGTATTTTTTATTGTTCAGGGCCCTGTTTTTTTAAAACATAATAGAAACACACTATTTAAATGGTTTATAGAGTCTGCCTGTTCCTTCATTAATATTCTTAATTTTATTTATTTATTTATTAAATATTTTATGTGTTTATTTATTTTAAGTCTCTTTATTCCCACCTCCTGTGTTCGATGGTGGTGGTGGGAAAAACAAGCTTTAAAAAAAGTGGAGAAATTTACAGTGGAATGGTGTTTGATTGTAGAAAAAGTTCATGCACAAAAAACAAGGGGGGCAGGAAGAATTTTGCTATGAAAGAACAGTTAGAACAGGATCTGAGAAAACTGAGTAGGAACTGGCCAGATTTTAAAAACAAAGGACTGCAGGAGCAGGGTTTGAATTCATCACTTAAAAAAATGATCTGAAAATTATGGAGATTTTATCTAAAGTGATGAAGAGAGGGGAGGAGCTGTTTTGAGTTAATTAATTAATTTTTAACTGAAAATACTAATAAAAATTGAGCAGAAGCACAGGCTGGGAGAGGATGCGTGAACAGGAACAGAAAGACATTTTGCAGATGATTTTATAAATCATTTAGTTCAGTGTTTACATCCTTTGTAGCAGAGCTGGGGGCATGGATTAACATATTTTTGATGGCAGCCCTGGAGGTTTCTGAAGCTGTAAAAAATTGTGTTCTTGCAGCTGTGTGGCAGAGGAGGACCTCGATCCTTTCCTGAGGAATACAAAATTCCAGTATGAAGCTTTCCGAAGCAGCAGTAAGTCTGCCTTTCCTTAGGCACATCTCTGAATGTTGAGGGGCCCTGAGGGGCACAGAGTGCTGCTTCTTTTTCTAGATAAACACAGATTATTTCTAGTTTTATGTTTACACACACAAATACAAAATGTGCATACATGTATCTGTAATTGAAACATCTGATAATTTTTTTATCTGATAAATAAGAGATAGTGGTGAACATTTCTTGTAAAACCAGTTGAAGATGCAGATGTGTGTTTATAGCTTTTTTTTTTTTAAATCATCCCTTGGCAATGTAATTAGAATCATTTTAATGTTTAACTTTTTTCCTAATGACGTGCAAGAGGTGAATTTGGCTGCCTGTACTAAAAAATTCCATCATACCAGTTTAGAGGACAACAATTTGATAAGCTTTTATCTGTTAGTTTTGGTCACAGTACGTGACAACCACTAAGGTGGAAGACTGATGGCTGTGTGAGTAGTTTAGTTTTTTGGGGAGGAGAGGCTTGATTTGGTTTTTTTTACAGGTCTTCATAAAGTTCAGCTTACAACTTATTAAATTCCTTTCTAGTTGTAATTAGGCAATATCTCAGTGATACTGACTATTAATAAGCTACTGATTACTCTTTGAACTGATGAAGTACCTTTTCCAGCATGCCTGAGGTTTAAATGGCCACAAAGCACGATGAAAGCTTAATTTAAAATTTTACTTTTGCATGTTTAACCTGAAATTCAAGTACATTTACAAATTAAAAATACATTATGGGTTGTTTTTTTTTAAAAAGGGCTTTCATCTGATGCCACAGTGCTGACACCCAACACAGAGAGCAGTTGTGACTTGATGACCAAAACCAAATCAGTGAGTGGGAATGATGACAGCACCTCCTTGGATTTAGAGTGGGAAGATGAAGAAGGTATTTATCCTGAATTTCAGCTTCATCCTGAACCCAAAAGTTAAAGATCTTGTCATTTTAAGCTGTGCTCATTGTAAATTTGTCATTTTCAAAAGGGAAGGTGATTTTAAACTTGTTTCTCATGGAGTTTCTGACAAGTTTGTAATGGTTAAACTGTAAATTATTTTTACTGAGACAAGTTCTTTATTTTTGATAAATGTGGAGATAACCCTACTAAATGAATTCATTTATTAGGATACTCCAATAGATAAATGAATTAATTTCCCTGTATTTTGTGGAACTGACTTGTAAACTCCTGACAAAAGTAATGGTGAAGAAATGCTGCCCTCTCGTGAGCCAGGAGCAGAAGGAAGAACTTGTTCTTCCTTTCAAAATGTAGTGGTTGGTCAGGAGTCTGACTTCAGTATTTTGGGAAAAACCCAAAATTATTATTATAATTATTATTATTACTGGCACTGTAATATTCACTGGGAACTTGGATCTGCATTCCAAGGAGTATCCCAGCAATGATACAGCAGGAACATTGCTGCTGTTACAGGTGTTTTCTGCACACAGTATTCCTCTTTTGTTCACTAAACCTGCAAAAACTCTTGGTTGAAAGTTTATCCAAATCGTTGAGACCTTGGCTATCAAAAGGCTCACCAAAAATAAGCAAAGGTTTGTTTTGTTTGTTTTTTAGCCAATCTGATAGGTGATTAACATCTGTAATTACTGACAAAAGCAGTGAAATCTTAGATGTAACCCCACATTTCTCTTCACAGAGAAAAGCAAGGCACAATTCTTCCCAATATCCTTATCATTTTCTGTGCCTGTGTTTGTGCCAAAGTAGAATGCAATATGCAGATTGAGACCTTGGCTATTGAAAGGCTCACCAAAAATAAGCAAGGGTTTGCTTATAGGTGATCACTGGTAGGTGATTAATGTCTGTAATTACTGACAAAACCAGTGAAATCTTAGATGTCTTTGAGCAGTGCCCAGAACCTTATTTTGTGTGGAATTAAACAAACTAAAGACCTTTTCTAGACCACTGAATTTGTCTTTTCCTAGACCACCAGTATCTGTTCATATTCTACCTTCGTTTCTCCTGGCAGAAACATAAAAGTTAGGTGAAACTCACTGTTTCCTGTGTGTGTGTGTGTGTGTGTGTGTGTGTGTGTGTGTTGGGAAGGATGAAAGTTTGACAAGGAAGTCTCACAGATATGTATGCTTAGCAGAAAGATTTTTAAATGTTGAGTCTGATCAAGGAATAGAGATGGAAGCAAGTTTTGATATAGAAGAAAAGAATTGCTGAGCCAGTCTTGATGGCTAACCAAGGATGTTAGTTGGAAGGGGTTTTTATGGCTTAGAGCAAAGGATAAACCCACCTCAAACAAGAAGATGTTTTTACCAAGCAGAAAGATAACACAGGCAAACAAGTCAGAAAAGCTGCAAGTAGAAAAAAGGTCTCAGAATTTTCCACTGCAAGAAAACAGAAAAACAACTTGTAGCTTAAACTGTAATGTACTAACTTTTAGCGATTGCAGAACAGTAACATGAATATGGTAATTACAGGAGTTATGATAGGCTGTAGATAGAAGTTAAGGTATAGACTGGTTCTACTTGTGAAAAACGCCAATCACTTGTTTTTAAAATTTTAAAAGTTTAGTAGTAGTAAAATGGTTATAAAAATAGTAACACAATTAGAGTAATAACAATTTGGACAAATTGAATTAGGACAATATGAGACAATAAAAACAAAGAGTTACGGACAGTCCGGGTGCCTTTTTCTGGCATCACAAGTCCGAAAAAGGACACCCCTGAACAGAGGATTAACCCTTAAGAGCAACAGCCTGTTGCATATTCATACACTTCATACATGATGCATAAATTCCATTCAAACACAGGATTCTGTCTGGTCATCCTCAACTTCTTCCTTCTAATCCTAACAGTGCCTCCAAGGCGGGAAGAAGTTCGTTTCTTCTGATAAGAGGGCCATAAATTCTTCTTCTCTGAAAGATTCATGTGTCCTGTGGCTGCTATCTCACTGCAAGCCCTTCTTGTTAAACAAAGCATCCTTCATAGCATCGTTTCTATTTTAACAATTTTTATAACCTAAAACTATATTTAACACAGTACTTAAGAAAATTAATACAGCATTATTTTCTAACACAACACATATAATATTCATTTTAGTGTTTGCGAAAAGCCAATCATAAAATACATGGATGTTTCATATACTGCATTAAGATGCTCAGCAAAGAAAAGTATATAATGCACTGTAACCAAAACCAAAGGGTCTCCAGGGGCCTGCCTGCAGCTGGAGCTGTCAGCTGTAGGCACAGCTCTGTCACCCACAACCCTGGACTGCTGTAAGCTCTTAGACAGAATAAACTGCATTTTAGAGAGCCCCTGGAGTCCCGCATCTCTCACTGAAGCTCTTCCAAAACGGCAGGCATGAACAGGATGGTCCCGGTGCGGGAGCGCTCCCGGACGGAGGAGGACATCCTGCGGGCGGCGCTCAAGTTCAACAGCAGGAAGCCGGGCAGCCACCCGGCCTCGGCCTCCGACGACTCCAACGGGCTGGAGTGGGAGAACGACTTCGTCAGCGCCGCCGCCGCCCTGGACGACAACGGCAACTCCGAGTACGCCGGCTTCGTGAACCCCGTGCTGGAACTGTCGGAGTGCGAGCGCCAGGACAGATAGTGCATCCTGAGCGTCCCCGGTGCTGCCAAGGGAACGGAACCCCCGAGGCCGCTCTGCTCTCTGTAACCTGCTCCCCTCTTCCTGACAGTCTGAATTCAGAACTAAGTGCAATTTTATCGTCTACCTTCTCCACTTTTGTGAAAACTGTTGTGGATATTTCTGGGTATCTGGATTTAATAGAAAATTATCTGCACTAAATTGGAGCTTCGTAGCTTTGACTTGTCTATATTTTAACTTGCCTTTTTTTCTTTCTGGATGATGTTTCTATTGATTTTGTTTTAAAATTCATCGTTGGCCTAATATTTATCTCAGAAACAGTCCTCTATAATTTAATACAGTCCTCTTTAATTTAATACTTGAAGATAGAGAAATAATTTTTAAATATTTCTATTTCTGTGCTTTTTGACTTGCTCTTCAGCTATTTAGAGCTGCAAAACAAATTTTACACATGGCAAATCTGCAGATTTTCCCCTGTCTAGCTTGAAGCCTTTCTAGTCTTCTGTTGTCCTTTTTCCATTTATTTTATTTATTTAATTGCTTTATGCCAAGCACGGTTAACCTCAATGAACACAGTAAAACTCATCAGGTTAGGTAAGGTACTGCCTTGTGTAATAATATGCCAGACTTAGTAAGCGTGTTCTAGGTAGAAAAGCAAAAATAAAATATAAATTCTCTGTATGTGTCAATAAAATGGGAATTTTAACCAGTGAAGAACTGGGAGGACCAAAGTCTTGTTTTCCCAGCCCCCCTGAACAGACCAACCTCTGTTGCTACACGGTCCTTAAAATCCTTCAGTTGTGGAAAATTTATAATTCCACTGGACCAGAACAATTATGGAAAAGCAACATCCAGCGAGCAAACAGGGAGGGATGATGGCTCTGCTGCTGGCAGGGTGGGAAGAACAAGAACCTAAAGACTGAATTTTTACACCTGCATTTTGAAAAGAAAGAAGAAAAAATCATGTTCTAACAGTGTGTTAAAGTGCTCTGCCTTTCCTGTGCCTCTCAAGTGGATGGTTAATCCTGCCAATAGGGGCTGAAATCCAAGGAGGTGTTCAGTGACTGCACCGCTGCTGTCCTGTGCTGTGTGGTCTCCCCCAGTATTCCATGTCAATCTTACTTTTTAGCAAAAGAGAACCTGCAAAGTACTTGCAGGTCTCAAGCTTTCCCCAAAGTTTCAAAGTAAAGCCATTCTACTCTGCCATTATTTTGTGCAGCTGTCTCGTTTTTCCAGGGGGAAAAGGGTGACAGGGTTTAACTTTGTTTTGGAGTAAAAAGAACATGTTGTGGTAAGTAACAAACCTGCTCTGTCAATCATCAGAACTGAATTTGTTGGTGAAAGCTGTGTGAAAAATGTGGTTTAGCTCATCTGAAGCTATGTGGAATATTTGGGTGGTTACTGTGTGGATAAGGAACAGAAATCATGCACACTGGGGTTAAATGTGTACAAGTAACCCGAGAGAACAGATAAATCCTGTTGGTAACATTCCATCTCTTCATTTCAGTTAAATCCTGTTGGTAACATTCCATCTCTTCAGTTGTAGCCACGTCACTGGAAATATTTCACTACCATTATTTACATTTGCAATACTTGTAATGAGCTTTAAAGACCTGTACACATCAAATGTATATGTTGGGTTTGGCCTAGGCTACTGCTGTGTGACTTCTCTTGGATATTTCTTTGTATAGCATATTCCTGTGGGAAGGAAGGCAACTTCCTCCACATGTAAATAACTTGTTTTTTACCTGCTGAAACTGTCTCCTCCCCTTCCCTGGTCACTGCTGCTCCTGGCCAGGGAACATGAGGTGACCTTATCCTGACCATGCCTTGAGGAATTAGCTGACAGTCCTGCCCTTGGGATGAACAAGCACTGAGGAAACAGGAGGCTGACTCCAGCTTTTTCTGTGATGGGCATGTTCTGTAGCCATGGTTGATGATAACATTTGCAGAGCTCAGTGCACCACGCTGGGTGACTTTTGAAGTGATGCTCTATCTCTGTGGGTATTTGAGAGATGGAGGGATTCCACAAACAGCTCATGCAAAGCAGTTCCAGGGTACTGTAAAATGCCTATCTGTACAAATTCAAGAGTCATTAAAATTTTCAGCAAGTCTTACATTTGGCAGTGTGGTATCTGTTGCTGGGTTTGTGGCAGCCATGTCAGAGCCCTGCTGAATCCCACAGTGTCCCTTCTGGGGACCTGCTGCAGAAGACCTGGGGAGTTTGGAGCATGGAGCCTTTCTCCTGTTGGAAATGAGCAGCTGTACCCACACCCTTTAAAGGCAAAATAACCTTCCTTGTGTAAATCACCTTCTGCTGGTCAGATCAATGTAGTGATAGGAGACAATCCATTTTTTAATATGCATTTTACACGACTGATTCTTTCCTCAGGTAAACACAGCTGAGCAAGTGATTGTTGTTTGGAAACCACAGCCGGCTTCCAAGAGTAGAAAACATGGCAACAAAGTAATTTTGTCACAGAGGAGATGAACAGGCAAATCCTGCATAAGCCTGTGTTTGAGTTTCATTGCCTCTCCCATGTGGCTTTCTCTCACTCGTGGTTGGTTGCCTTAATCCCAGCTGTTCCTCCCCTCAGTTATAATTATGGTTTTCTTGGAATGATTAATGCTGAAATGCATCCTAATATTCAGGGGTGATGAAGTGGGTAACTCCTATTCTTCCCCAGTGTGTCTTTCAAGCAAGCTAAAATCCTTGCCAAAATAAAAAAGCCAAACGCCAATGAAAAGCTGAGCCCCTGACAAAGAAAAACATGACTGAAACAATCTGAGAAATACTTAAAAGACCAGAAAATTATTAGAGAGGTTTGGGTAGAGGAGTAGAGGTAGAAAACTTCCTGGAAGTATTTAAGTAAATTCTTACCTTGGAGCCATGGCATCTTTGGAAAGCCCAGTGACAGTCTCTTATCTTGATGGTCCTGGAAATAATTTTATTCTCCAAAAATTCTTTTAGAGTGCAGCCATATAACAGAGCAAACCCTTACTAGGGAACAAAATGTATTTATTGCAAAATAATTGTGGATTTTTATAGACCATGATCATTGGTGCTACATGTTTGTCTACATCACAAGCAAAAGTAGTTAACTTGCAAAAAAAATATATATATATTAATTAAATAAGTGAAAATAAAAAAGAAACCTTGCTTTGAAGCTAATAAAAACATAAAAGGACAAAGTGTTTTTAAGTTGCAAAATCTGTGAAGTCACAACATAGGCTCGCAAAAAATACTGTTTGGGATTTGGTGTGCAAAGCAGAGCACAAAGTAAAATATGCAACAAGACACTGTGTCACCCCCTGGTTGGGACCAAAACCTGCTGTGCTCGCTCTGTATTAGTGCCTGTTAAATATCCCTCCAAGGCACGTGGCCACAGTTCTGGGATTCTGTGGATTTGAGTGACCCCTTGTCTCCCACACCATTCTGGGCATCAGAGAGCCCTCCGAGAAGGCAGTGTCAGGAATCCATTCCTGTGGAAGGAGCAGTGCTCTGGAATGCCTGTGCTGATAACAGCAAGTAAAGAAGACTGATGTGCGGCAGTCAGTGAGCACCACCAAGAACACTGGGCTGAGGTGAGAGCTGTGTGTGCTGGAGGCCAGAAAACCTGATCCAGCCTCCTTCTCCCCGCTAGCATATCTCGTTCTCATCAATCTCTGTGGGGCTTTTGCCTTGGCCAGGAGGAAAGGAAGGAGAAATGCCATTCTCAGGAACAGGCTGCAGGGATGGCAGGCACCTTTCTTGTAAGATGGGTGCTTCAGCCAAGTGCAAGTGAGTCTCAAAATAATCCACGGCCTCCCCTTCTTGAATCTCCGCCAGGACCTGGTATTCCCCAAAGCAGATGATGCACTTCCAGGGCAGGTCGATTTTGTTCAAGTAGCCCAGCTCCGTTTGGTTGACGGTCAGCTTCGTTTTCTTGCTCAGGTTCTTGATCTCGAAGGCGTACTCGGAGCTGTGGAGCTTCCTGTAGAACTGCAGGGAGAACTGGATGCGGGAGACGCGCGTGTCCACCAGGCTGTAGCGGCACAGGCTGGAGTCACGGCCGAACTTGGCCGTGTCGTCCGCCCGCAGCTGCTGCCGCCGGCAGAAATCCAGGCAGCGGAACATCATCTTCTCAGCCTGCCCGGGGTGGTAGAAGGTCAGGTGGAGGCACGTCACTGTCTCCTCTGTTTCGGCCTCCTCGAAGAAGCTCATGGCGAGAGGAGCCCTTGGAGCCAGGAGACGGCAAAACCACGGCACAGAGCGGCTGCAGAACCCAACAGATCGGTGTCAGCACTGGGATATTCCCTGTGCTCCTCTCCACTCACTGCACAGAACCTCCAGGCACCTGGAAGCTTCCAGATACCTGGAAGCACAGCAGCCACAGCTCACTGCTGCTTGCCAGCAAGCTCCTCTCGAGGCAGATTTATCTTTGCAGGAAATATGTCATTTAGCAGTTAGATCTGCTTGATAGGCTTAAAATGGGGTTAGGCAGAACTGGCTGGGCCTGTGTGCTCTGCTCTTTATCAAGAGATCTTTACCAACAGTCTGTCTGTAGGCAGTGGTAATTCACATATTTATAAAGCATTCCTTGGGCTCTCCAAACTCACCTCTTGCACGGACAAAGTGTTTAGTGAGTGATGGCTGGGATAGCATAAAAAGTGAATTTAAGAAGTTGGACTGTCCATATGACCTAAAAGAGGAATTGTCACCACCTCTAGGTATTTCCCCATTGTCTGCTGGAAAATCCCAGCTCTCTGCTGCTCCAGAAGCACTAAAAAAATTTACTTTTCTTGGGTTTGGTAGTTTGTGTTGTTTTTTAAAGTTCTTTACGTTCAGCACAGAGACCACATACTTATGAAACAAATTCTGTTCCAAAGCCTGAGCAACTGCAGTGCATCCTAATAAAACCTGAGACAGTTCAGAAAAGGCTGCCATCTGCTTCTCTAAATGCAAGGCCAGTGTCTTTCCACACTAAAACTGAGCCTTGAAAAGAAAAGCCTTGCTATTTGAAAGCAGAAACCAACAAATGAGTTCCCAGTTACTCACCAGGGAAACATGTGAACAGCCATTTAACTAGTATCACACAGTGCAGATGTTTCCACATCCAGACTGCAGTGAGTTTCCAGTGTGTCTCACACAGCTCTGGAGCTCATCAGCTCCATCCAGAGCTTTATGAGCAGCTGAATCATCACTGCCATGAAGTGATGATTGTGGTTTTTACACACTGCACCCAAACACCAAGCATAGTGCGTGGTGGTGTATCAGTGCATCGTTTTTTCTGCGTGAAACCTCAAAACTGCTCCCTTTGCACCTTTAACACAAAACCAGCCACAGTTCTGACACAGCAGCTCAGCAACCCCAGCTTGATTACTGAAGCATGCTACAACAGCACAGATGATGAGTGAAACACAGAATTTCCAGCAGAGCTCCCTCTAAAACAACTAGGAAATATCATCTGTGCTTTTGGCAGGAATGCAGACAGACACCCTGATAGCAGGTTACTCCTTGGCCATCTGTGAGCCAAGCTGTGGCGGCACCATTGCCAGTCCCTCCTCCTTGTGGATTCCCCATCTCTCTCTGGGATGCTGGAAGCAGCTCTGTGGGCCAGGAGACACTGTCCCCATGTCCAGCTCTGCCCTTCCTTGTTGTGCACCAGAAGGGGATATTACATGAGGTCATCTTTGGTGAAGGGGAAAACCACCGAGCACTTTCATTATGTTTGCAGTTCAGAGACACTTCTGTGCCTCACAACTTCAGTGCAAATTACTGAGTTTTACAGATGGCTACATTAACTAAAAAACAAGAACAGCCTCCCACAGCTTCGGCAGCTCCCCCTGATGAACCTGGATCCCGGCAGCTCCCACAGAGCCCGCTCCGGATCCACGATCACCCCAGGCACCCCCTCACGGCCGCCTGGTCCTGCCTCAAAGCTCACCGAGGTCGAGCACACTGAATATTCCTTAACGTAAATTGACGAGTTTCTACTTAAAAGGAGTTTCTACTTACTAGAGTGCATTGGCCAGGAGGAAGAAACCTTCTGTAGATTTCTCTGCAGCTCTAAGGCAGCCACTGCCCCGCTGTTGTCCGTCCCGGCACCGTGCTCTCACCTCATCATCCTCTCCTAGGGGACAGCGAGCGTCATCACCCCAACTTCCAGAGGCAGCAGAAGAGCGAGAAGCCCTAAGAATATGGGCTCCGGCTCCGGAGCAGGCTCGGTGCCACCTGCCCACCCCACAGCACGGCCAGCCTGGGATCTCCCGGAACG